AGTACAAGATTCCCAATGGATTAGTTCACAAGGGTCATAGGAATGTGCAAGCCCACTCACCACAACAAGGTGATAATCCAGTGAGTGAGATCCTTGTTACACACAAGTTGTGTATCTATAAATGTGGGGTGGGTTAGTAGCGTTGAGATACAGCCTTTTCCTGAACTGTAGAAATTTCCTCATCCCAACTTTTTAGTCATGTGTGTTGTGTTTGTTCTCCTTTTTTGCAATATGAGGGTGGGGAAAAGGTGTGCCGAGGTTCTGATTTCCTGCTACGGGGCACCATCTGCTTGCTGACCTTCTTAGTGCAAATCACACACAGCCTCTCCTCAGTTCTTCTCAGCCAGGTGACAGAATGGTGACGATAGCAATTTAAGAGTTGGCAAAGCAGCTGTGACCCGGCCAGGACTGGCTCATCCACGTGGAGGATTTTGCTGCTATCTTAAGTTCTCAGTGTTTCCAGAGCCATTTTATCTCTGTTTGACCAGTTCTGTTGACAAAGTTGGCTCTGGTAAGGAAAATAAATGACAGAGAGCAGAATGGAAGTGAAAAGTGGAGAGGAAGCCACTCTTCTGGAAACAATAATGACAATACACTACAGGGAAACAAAGCATTATTTTCCCCCACCCCCATCCTCCTAAAGGGCCACTTTGCAAAATACATTTACAGGGATCTGATGTCCATGGCAGCAGGACCAGTTCTTGTTGGCAGGAGAAGGATATGGAGGGAGAGAAAGAGGAAGAGAGAAAATTCATACCCAGATGTTCCAAACTTCAGCAGGGAGATGCAGAATTGAGACTGGAGTTTGCAGGCACCACCCCTGGCCTTCAATATATCTGAACCTACTATCCCGCAAAAATCATATACCCGGCAAAAATCTATACTCAGGCGGGGGGCAGATCAGACATGTTTGTGCATAAAAGAAATGATCAGCAGGTGAGCTTGGAAGGCAGGACCAGCAGATGTGATTATGACCCCTGCACCCCTTAGTGCACCCCATGGTTTTAGAATGTCTGAAAGGGGCTCTTGTAATTTCTAAGTAGATAGATACTGTCAAGAGAAGGCTCCTGCTAAAGCAGGGGGTGAGCAGCCATTCTTCTGCTTGATCCCTGCTTTAGTAGAAAACACACATCCTTGAGGCCATATTCACTTGAGGTTGATCCATTTGGGGGCTACATGCCAGCAGTGGGTGAGGCCATAGCCAGTGATGGTCAAGGCTAAAGTCCCTTCTCCCTCCCTCCCTCCCTCCCTCCCTCTGTCTCTGCACTATACATTTAAAGCAGTATCATACCTTTTAAAACAGCCATGGCTTCACCCAAAAGAAGCATGAGAACTGTCCTTTGTTAAGAGTGCTGAAAGTTGTTAGGATGCCCCAATTCCCTGCACAGTGCCTCAGTTTCAAAATTTCCTTAGCCATAAATTTGTCTGATGATGATGATGATGATGATTTATACCCCGCCCATCTGGCTGGGTTTCCCCAGCCACTCTGAGAGGCTTCCAACCAAAGATTAAAAATACATTAAGACATCAGTCATTAAAAACTTCCCTTAAACAGGGCTGCCTTCAGATGTCTTCTAAATATCATATAGTTGTTTATTTCCTTGACATCTGACAGGAGGGCGTTCCACAGGGTGGACACCACTACCGAGAAGGCCCTCTGCCTGGTTCCCTGTAACTTTGCTTCTCGCAGTGAGGGAAGCACCAGGGAAGCACTTTAAGTGTGTAGTACGGGGGCGGGGTGACTTTCTATCTTCCTTCCACTGTCTCTTCCAGTCCAGCAGACTGACATGGAAGGGACAATTTGCTCTCATCAGACATCTGATGGGACGATTTGCTTTTAAAATTAGGCCAAGGGTCTAGGTTACCCACACCCATAGTTCATCAAACAGCTCTGCAGGCTATTGGTTCTGCTGAGCTTTGTGCCTCACTTTCAACAAGTAGGATAAGATTAGGTTGGAAGCCTTAGATAAATGATGACCCAGCTCCTGCGTCTCCAGGGTTTAAAGTTAACGCTGTTTTAAACTGGCCCTGTCAGTGTTCTGGAACTCAGGTGGTGTTATTAGCCAGAGGGTAATTTCAAATGTCCATTCATTTAAATTGTATAGCACCTGGATGTGAGCAACAGCCTGGTTTTATTTGGGAAGTGAACATGCTTGCAGAGAGGCAGAAATGGCAGAGAGACTTTGCAGCAGAATGCATCAAAGCCGTGCAAAAGATTGATTAAAGTGATCCACATTACACGGCCTTCATCACGTGTGAGCGGGCTTTATTGCTAAGGACAGCTTTACAATATTGCAAAACTCCTACATGGTATGGTTAATGGTTTCCTGTCCCACAATGGGTATTAATTAATCTAGCAATGCTAAGACAATTGTGTTATGACCAATTGCTGCTGTTGTGGTCACTGCCTATTTTGCAGGTGTTTATGCTTTAGCCAAATATTGACAATTTTGATGGAGCCCTTCCCTTTCCATACACAGAAGCTGAGCAGACCAGAAGCTGGCTCTTACTGGCACAAGGATAGCATCTTGAAGGCAACAGTCTAGCTCAAGGGGTGCAGGGCGGGCTGTGTAGCACACAACTTTGTTCTCTGACTGTTTAGTGTCACTTGCCATTAGGGATGGCTGCTCCAAAGGTAATGAGAGATGTCCCTTTGATGTATGGTAGGAAATTCCAGGCGTAGCCTTCATGGACTCATCCAAACAATTCAAGTTACAAGAAAGGAGATTCCAATTAAACATCAGTAAGAACTGTCTGACAATATGAGCTGTTTGACAGTGGAACAGTCTCCCACGAAAGGGGGTGGCAGAGCATCTACTTTGCAGCGGGTGGGTAAATCTGTTTATTTTGGTTCTTCTTGTTTTCTTGTCTTTTTCCATTTTTCTCCACAATTTTGCATCAGTTTGCAATTTCTGTATTTTTGGAAGTCCACATGAAAATTCACCACCGTTAGAGTGCAAATTTCTTCCGATGAGTACACATTTTCTCGCAAGCAATTTCCTCTGTCAGAGTGCATTTTCACACACGGTCTTCACTAAGGTATGTGTTTTGGAGCACTCATTCCCCCAATGTAGACATTATTGTACACGTGGTTTGGTGGGCAAACTGCATCACACAATGTGTTTTGGTTTGCATGTTGTTTTGGAAAGTGAAAAATTGCTAGGTTTGCATCAAAATCCTAACTGCACCAAAATTCTTCCCCATCCCTACTTGCAACGTAACCCAGCACCTGCTGTCTAATGGTAGGACCGGATCTGCTTCTGGGTAAATGTCTGCATAGGATTGTAGCCTCAGCCATCTTTCTTCCCCTGCCTTTCTAAATTGGGAGCAAAGTAAAACATCGCTCCATCAATTTTCTCTCCTGGTAGCTGTGGTTGAAGGTTAATGGACTAGAGTTTTTCCTGCGTTCCTACCACTTCCCATCTCCTCTCTCTCTCTGGAATATAATGAATCTTACTTTTACTGTAACAAATGGCTATATTTGTATTAATATGAACCTTTAATGAGCCATGTATTAGTGTCAGAACTAACAATGTCCCTTCCTTGGCCGAGAGCAGACCACGAGTACTTCGGAGCTGGCAATTTGTATCTGAGAGTTATTTCCCCCATCTGTCAGAATGCTAGTCTTCACTGTAAAATCACAGCCTAGAGCCGAAAATGGGTTGTACGGCCATCATTAATCTTAGTAGAGAGCTCACAATGACACGTGGGGCATGAATACATCTATAAGGGGAGTTTTAATTGCCAGGATGTCAAAGGCCACACTGAATGGTAGGGGCTGTTTGCTGCTAAGACGACGGGAAATATATTTTCCATATTTTAAATATATATCTATATTCTGTGTGATGCCTCAATGTTCATTAGCCGGGAAAAGAGGAAACTGAGAGGAGATATGATAGCCATCTTCAAATATCTCAAGGGCTGCCACAAGGAATAAGAAGCAAGTTTGTTTTCTCCTATTCTGGAGGGTAGGACCCAAACCAATGGATTCTAGTTACAAGACAGGAGGTTCCAACTAAACATTGGGAAGAACTTTCTGACAGTAAGAGCTGTTCGACAGTGGAATGGTCTCCTTTAAAGGTTGTGGACACTCCTTCCTTGGAGATTTTTAAGCAGTGGTTGGATGGTCATCTGTATGAATGCTTCTGCTGAGATTCATACATTGCAGAGAATTGGACTAGATGACCAACTCTACAAGTCTATGATTCAATGTGATCAAAGCTTCATCAGGTCAAAACCACCAAAACATATGTGCATAAGTCTGTATAAAATGGATTCCTAAGTGGAAACTTCTCACAACATGTAGGCTACAGTTTAGAGGCTTTAGCGGGGGATCCTTTTCAGTCTGAGGGCCACATTCCCTTGTGGGCAACCTTCTGGGGGCCACTTGCCCATGGTAGGCAGAGCCATGGTCAAAAATGGGAGAAGAAATAGAGTTGACTTGATCCACCCCTGAAAATAGTTTGAGTTGTACTAGAGACCAGGGGGAAGTGGTAGCAGGTCAAACTAACAGAACTGTAGGAGGGCATTCTCCCCCCAAAAAACTATAACAAGGACAATAAAGAGAGAGACTGGTTTACCAAGGACAAGGGCCAGAAAATAAGATTCTCCCTTGTAAAGAGAGACAACTGGAAAGTGTGCTCATATCCCGATCCTCGCCTGGCTGCAGACAGATTCTGCCTGTGTTTTATTCACTCAAACGGAGTTGTAAAAGCTCTTATATATATACAAGCACTTTGCTAAGCACCAAAGGTCGACTAATAAGATGGTAATTGCTTCTTGAATAAATACTGATAGCTTATTAACAATAAACTGAAAGTTAAAGGGCTGTATAGAAAACACGGACATTACACAAAATTAGTGTTGAAACCGGGCAACATTTGTTCCTGGAAATTAATTTTACTATAACTCTTTTTCATTGTTCCTAGAAACATCGATGTCCTGTAACTTTCCACACCCTGGTACTCTACAGATGCTTGGGACTTGTAATCTAAAACTGGGCAACTGGATAGCTCAGCTGGTTAGAGCGTGGTGCTGATAACACCAAGGTCACAAGTTCGATCCCTGTATGGGACAGCAGCATATTCCTGCATTGCAGGGGGCTGGACTAGATGACCGTCTGGGTCCCTTCCAGCTCTACGATTCTATGTTTCTATGCATCAGGATGAGGAAAGCTAACCTACTGGACCTACTTGGCAAAGACACCCATTGACTGCAATGATTGTTCAGAGAATGATCTGGCAGAACAGCACAGAAACAAGTCGATGCCAGCAGACAGGTGAATGGTGCCAAAAACAGGTGGATAAATCTGGGAAATAATTTTTAACAAATTGAAGAAATATTTAACTTTTAATTTTTTAAAAAAACCCGGAAGCTTTTCTTCTAGGGATAGTAGATACAGAGATACCCAAAGACACTAACACACCCAAAAAATATGTTCATGTATGCAACAACTGCAACTGGAATAGTTTTTACCAAGAGATGGAAAGAAGAAAGAGTGGCTAATTAAATTAATGGATTATTCCAAAATAGCAAGACTAACAGGTGTAAAAACATACCCTCCAACATTTCTCCAATGAAAATAGGGACATCCCACTCCATAGTGATAATTTTACTATTTATACCCCACACATCTTACTGGGTTGCCCCAGACATTCTGGGCAACTTCCAACATATATAAAAACAAAATAAAACATTAAGCATTTTTTAAAAAAACCTTCCCTATACAGGATTGCCTTCAGGTGGTTCAGGGGTTGGATAACTCCATACACCTCCAACATTTCTCAAATGAAAATAGGGACATCCTAAAGAAAAATGGGATGTCCCAAGATCAAATCAGAAACCGGGATGTTTTCTGTAAATCAGGGATGTCTCTGAAAAATAGGGACACGTGGAAGGTCGGTAATAAGAAACCAAGAAGAAGAAGAAGTTATTAAAGATTCAGGGGAAATTGTGGAATATATGAAAAATTATTGTATGCAAATTAGTTCATTAGTCGGGTTAACATAAAACAAGCAGGTAAACATATTACCAACACAAACTAAGGAATAACGTAAAGGTAGATTAATGCATAAAATGCAGTTTAAAAAATAAATTTAAAAAGAAACCACAAAAGATGGGGGAGATAAGTCAAACATATGTGTATGGGAAATGTATGTGATTTGTGTGCTTGTAATTTGTATGTCTGCAAATCTTGGGGGGGGGGAATATATACCTGAATAAAAACAACAGGTGGGTAGTGTCAAAGACCGCAGGTACACACCTGGTCAGGATAATGGGAGTTGTAGTCCAACAATGTCCAGAGGGCCACAGGTTCTCACCATTGTCTCAGACATTTCTGGAAGTTATGAGGCTTCAGATTCTCAATAGTCCCGCTGAGCACTTTTTAAATTGGAAAAAAAACACAATTACAATTACAAAGAAATAAAGGAAATGGCAATAATGAAAACAACAATAAATAATGCACCACTTTTCATTTGGCTGATTTGATCTTTAAAATCTCAGCAGCAATTTTCTGTCAATGCTATTCATTCCAAAAATGGACAGATACATTCTCATTTACAGGAAGGCCATTACACAAGTCACCCCTTCCTTCCCACTTTCTTTTAAGCCAGCTAAATGTATGCATACCATATTCCATACTCTCTTCAAACACCCATTTATCTCTGGATCTTTTGTATTTACCCATTTATTTGCCACCTTAATGTGTGCAGTAACAATTTAGTTCCCCGCCAATTCTTGCATTTCAGCTCATAGTACAACCTCAACACATACTAGAAGAAACCTTAATTGTGATAATAATGACCTGTGCCATGTAATTCTTCTAATAATCTTGACAATTTTATTCTAATAAACTTGTGTGTGTGTGTGTGTGTGTGTGTGTGTGTGACATACACACACAACAAACATATCCCCCACTAAATATGGACGTCATCTGCTCCAGGATTTTTTAAAATGTCTTTGCTGCAATTTTTAATATACATGTGACAAGAAGTGCAAATCATGCTCTGTATTCTATTTCCCATGTGAACGGAGTCTGTGCTGTTATTTTTTTCCTGCTAGAATCACATTACTCAGAATGTTCAAAATGCGTTGGGAAATAGCTCAGCTTGCTAATAGCTCAGTCTTGCAGCTATTGTTTTATCGTCTCTTCATTTTGATATTCATCGGGGCCTGATTAATTGTGAGCTGAGCCACACAACTGAGAAGCGCACAGGAACCTTTAAAAGCATTGATGGGGACCTCAGGCCTGGGGGACCCAGTGTGGCCCTCCAGACCTCTCTATCTCACCCTCAGAAATCTCCCCATCCTTTTTGTCTGGGTCAAGCATAGAGAAAGAGGTATGTGAGTCTCGTTCTGAATGCCTTTCAACTCCAAGCAAGCATTCATTTAATTAAAGTAAACTTCTGCTGCTGCATGTAAACTCTATATACTAACATGTGCTGTGTGGACACTTCCAGAGACTTGGATTTAAAACTCAAGGCCAAGGCCATCGCCAACTAATGGAAATTATTGGGGCACCTTTCATTTCTCATCCTCTTAGAGAGGTCCCATAGCTCAGAATGACTATGATAAAGTTAATTCAGATGGGTTTGATCCCACACCATCTTCAGTTCAAAGATCTCAGACAGCAGGTATTGGGATGGTAGTCATCAGAGTAGGCAGCAGCTGGTTATGTGGGCCATTCACCTAAAGCAACAGACGGTAACTTCCTCTGGACTGTTGTGAGAAATAGGGATGGATGAAACAGTCCCTTTTGGTTTTTCCCAATTTCTCATTTTCTAGGCTTAATTCCAAGCCTCCACATTTCCATATCAGTTTGCAAATTAGCATTTTGGTGTGGATTTCCTCCTGATCTGCATGCTTCTGTATACAATTTGACCTAATATGGCCAGTTTTATGAGGAATTTCCCCTGACACAATGCTTTCCTGTATCTATTTTTCACAACTATATGCATTTTTAGTCACACTTTACCCAGCAGGTCCATTTTTGTACCCATTACTTGCTTGGAAAACTGCATTGCAAAATTCATATATGTGCAAATTTTCATTTTGGTTCGCATATTTCTCCAGGAAGTGTGAATTAGGTAGAGTCGCCTTTAATTAGAGAATTAAGCACTATACCTAGTGAGGACACAGCATTCCTCTGATTTCCAAGTACGAAGGGTTGAATGTGAGGCAGAAACATCTCAATCTTGTTTGTGTGAGCAAGTGTCAGAAAGAGAGATAGCAATTATTTAGATTGCAGATAAATATGACCAGTAGTTCCTTCTTGAAACAAAGATGCCCATAAGGCTGTTCTATATGCAAGGGGTGAAATATTCATGTCCACTTACCCGTTAATTAGCTTCCCTGAATAATTGTTTTGTAATGAGCCCGGGAAACAGATAAAGATCGTGCTGCTTCATTGTCAGATCTCCACAAATGTGATCTCAGTGATCAGTTGGCGCTGAAATACTGTGCAGCGACTGCCTTATGAAATTTTAATTAAATCCTTACTTGAGCTGAATAATTTAGCACAAGGCAACACCAGAGTTACATCAACAGAAATGTCTGCAGTGGGAAAGGGGAGGGAGTGGGATGCTTCTGACTACAGTAATATTCAGCTACTTTATTTACAAGAACTGAGAACTTGGCTGCAAGGCCGGCTCTGCCATTGGGGTACGTGCGGCAACTAATGCTGGTGGCAGGTGATGGACCACAGAGAGCGAGGGCAACAGTGGCAGCTTTCCTTGTCATTCATCCTAAATGCTATGGAATACCGTATTTTTCGCCCCATAGGACGCACCGCCCTATAGGACGCACCTAGTTTTTTGGGGGGGAAATAAAGAAAAAAAATTATCCCCCCCCCCCGGCATGGGGCTGGCGCGGGGGAAGCCTGAGCTTCCCCCGACCCCAGCCCCCAGAACAGCCTGCTATCCGCAAGCCTAGGGAGCCGCGCCGGTCTCCCCAGGCTTGCGGACAGCTGTGCGAAGCCCGGGGCGCTCTTCAGCGCGCCCGAGGCTTCGAAATGCAGGCAGCTCTGCGCAACCCTCCGGAGCCCGGTGCGGCTTGGCGCCGGGCTCCGGAGGGTCGCGCAGAGCTGCGCGGAGCCCAGGAGCGCAGGCAGCTCTGCGCGATCCTCCGGAGGCCGGTGCGGCTTGGCGCTGGGCTCTGGAGGGTCGCAACCCTCCGGAGCCCAGCGCCAAGCCGCTCGCTCTCCAGGCTTCAGCGAAAGCCTGTATTCACCCCATAAGACACATTTCCCCTTCATTTTTGGAGGGGAAAAAGTGCATCCTATAGGGCGAAAAATACGGTAATATACTTCTATTCCACTTTTGAAATGTGCTGTAAGTCACTTGGAGACCTTCAGGTAACAAGCAACTAACAAGTCTAAGGAATAATAGTAATTATAAGTAGGGCTTTCCCCCGCATCAGAATTCAGTTCCTCTCAGGTGGGCACCATTGCCGTTCTAAGAAGGGGTGAGCTTAGGCACCTCTTTTTCTAGGAAAAAAAATAGCACTGATTATAACCCTGCAGCCACCCCCCTTAAAGGTAAAGGTACCCCTGCCCGTAAGGGCCAGTCGTGTCCGACTCTAGGGTTGTGCGCCCATCTCACTTAAGAGGCCGAGGGCCAGCGCTGTCTGGAGACACTTCCGGGTCACGTGGCCAGCGTGACGAAGCTGCTCTGGCGAGCCAGCACCAGCGCAGCACACGGAAACGCCGTTTAGCTTCCCGCTAGAAAGCGGTACCTATTTATCTACTTGCACTTAAGCGTGCTTTCAAACTGCTAGGTGGGCAGGAGCTGGGACCGAAAGACGGGAGCTCACCCCGCTGCAGGGATTCAAACTGCCAACCATGCGAACGGCAAGCCCTAGGCACTGAGGTTTTACCCACAGCGCCACCCGCGTCCCTGCCACCCCCCTTAGTTGGTTGGGGAAATGCTTGTTTACAATGCTATTGTAACTACCAGCCTTACTGTATGCTTGTGAAACATGGACCACTTAAAAACGCCATCTCCAACTCCTCGAAAGATTCCATCAACGTTGTCTCTTAAAATTTTTACACATCACTTGGGAAGACAGGTAAACTAATACCAGTG